GGATCTGAGACCCCTGGATCCACACCCTGCCCCAGATGAGCTCACTCCACGGGCACAGGGCTGTTGGAGCGCATAGGGCATGTCTTGGCCCTGGGGATAGGAGGCTGTGGGGTGCCCTGGGCTCCTGGGTCCCCCAAAGAGCAGCCAGACCCTTACCTGAGCCGGTCGTGTGGTCAGAGCCCAGTCCCTGTCCCATGCCACGGACCCATTTGAAATCACTGGTCAGATCCTGGTACCAGCCACACATGCCCCTCTCGAAGTTGCAGGACAGCTCTGGCCAGAGAGAGGTGGTGACAAGAGGGGGTGGGGATAAGAAACCCCAAAAGCAAAGAGGTTCCCCAGATGTCCCTTTCTCTCTGCTCCCCTGCTCCACTCCCCAGATTCACCCCATGCAGTTGCCCCAGGGCAGGATGTGTGCTCAGCCCTGTCCCTGGGGTTTCTGCACCACAGTCCTGTTCCTGGTCTGGGAACAGGGTGACAGCCACCCGGCAGCCCCCATGGGAAGGGGCTGGGGTCATTCTCCCTGCCCACGAGCCCCTGGCTGTACCTGCAGCTGCAGGTGACACCACATCAATGTGGCACTGCTCGAATGTCACATTGTCAATGCCAATGCTCTCTGAGTCCTGCAGATCCACCAGTGCCAGCAGCTCAACCTGGAGGTGGTGACCATGAGCCTGGAGTACCTGGCAGCAGCAGCACTGACCCACCTGCAGCCCCTCAGGCTGGTCCCTGTACCCCCAGCACACCTGGAAGGGTCGGCTCCTCTCTCCCAGGGGGACACTCGCACGTCCCCCAGCTGTGCCCCCATGACCCTGCATGTGCCAGGCCAGCTGGGTGGTGCCTGTGTTGGGATCCGTGATGCCAACAGCGAGGAAGCCTGGCACAAGAGATGGTGCAGAAGCTGTGGGCACCCAAAACCCCTGGCCACCCACTGGGAGCCACCCATGGCCCCAGCCCACAGTCATAGGGGACAGGGATGGGAACAGGGACACCCCAACTCCAGGACAGTATGATGGGGCAGAGCAAGGCTGAGAGAGGCAGCAAAGGCAGGTGGGCATGGGGGGGTTCTGCTCTCATGGTGGAGCTCTGGGGACAGGGAACAGGCAGGGCACAGCAGGGGTGGGCAGGGTGTTACCTTGGGGGCTGCTCTGGATGTGGTAACTCATCTCCATGGTGCAGGCAGGGCCGGAGGGGCCCAGCAGAGGTGTTCGTGCCTTTGCAGCACTTACCATCTGTCCTTCTCCTGCCTGGAGGGCCAGGAAAGCCCCTGGACACAGAAACACCCTGGGAGGTCAGGACTGGGATCCCACATCCCTGGTGGCATTCCCAGCCCAGCATCCTGCCTAGACATCACCTCCCCATCCTACAGTGGCACCCACCCAATCCAGCAGGGTGGGAACAGGGGTCCCTGCTCTGGGGGCTCCCACAGTGCTGGGAGCCAAAGAGCATCATTAGGGTGGTGGGAACAGCCTCACCTGTAAGAAAGGTGTCAGGCTCAATGGCCCTCTGCAGCCCCCAGCGCAGCTGCCCCAAGCTGAAGTCCTGCCAGCCCCCAGCTCCCGACTCGAAGGTTGTTGCTCCTGCAGAGTCAAAGAATCACAGAATCACAGACTGGTTTGGGTTGGAAGGACCTTAAATCTCACCTAGTTCCACTCCTTGCCATGGGCAGGGACACTTTCCACTAGCCCAGGTTGCTCCAAGCCCCATCCATCCTGGCCTGAAACACTTCCAGGGATGGGGAAGACACAGCTTCTCTGGGCAACTCAGAACTCCAGGCACATCCTCTCTGCATTCCCCTGGGACTACCTAGGCACCCACATCCCCTGGCCATGCCAGCCCAGGGGTGCCTGGGTCCCCTCCACCGCCAGGTACCGGGGTGCAGGTGCCTCCTCGGCTCTCACCACAGCGCTTCTCGTCGGAGCCATCGGCACATGTGTCAGCGAAGTCACAAGCCAGCTCTGCGGTGATGCAGCCCCCACTGTCACAGGCCACGTCCTCTGCTGCACAGGGGCTGGCACTTGGCCGGCTTGGCAGCGTGACCGGGGACTTCCCTGATGGTGAAACACCTCAGGGTTGGAGAGCAGTGGTGAGGGGGTCCAGCAGCAGCACTGGCATCACCCTCAAGCTCCCATCCCCAAACATCTCCCTGGCTCTCCATTTCCCCCACCCCATCCCATCCCCGTCCTGTCCCATCCCATCCCAACCCTGCTGGCACCAGACAAAGGGGACCCAGGGCCTGGTGAGAGCTGCTTATGGGACAGGTTTTGGCACAGGGGATAGAGTGTCACAGCCACAGGACAAGGACACCAGCGCCCCAGGGCAAGTGCTCGCCATGCTGCGCCCAGGACGGTCCCCATCATGAGCAAAGGGATAGGCAGACTCGACAGTGGGTCCTTTAGGGATAGTGCCATGAGCACAGGGCACCTGGTAGCACTGCCCATGCTGCAGCAGGGTGGGGGATACTGCCCTCCTGGCTCACCCTGCTCCTTCACACAGCCCTGCGACAGGATCAGGTCATCGATGGCCACAGTTCCCCTGCTGCCAGCCACCCCCTCGATCAGCACCTGCAGAGGAGCAACGTCAGCATGGGCTCAGAGGAGCAATGTCAGCATGGGGTGCTGCACAGTAGGAGGGGTCAGGAGGGACACCGAGGAGCTGTGGGACTTGGTAGGAGCAGGAGTGATGCTCCAGCTGGCAGGGGTGCACAGGGTGGGCTGGCAGGACCATGGTGGGCTTGAGGGGTTGTGCTGCCCCCGCACACAGCCCTAGCCTGCAGCTGCCTGGGGGTGGCATGGGGGTGTCCTCAGGGTGCCCACCAGCGCCAGCTGGGAGTGGGCTGGGCTGTATGGGAAGCCATGGGGACAGCTGACAGGGCAGTGGGAAGGCATGAGGTGAGACATAGTGTGGATGAAGACACTCCACCCATTTCCAGTGGGGTGGTCCTGGGCTGGTAGGGGCATTTGGAGATGTGGGCACAGGGATATGAGGGTGGCACATGCCAGCACCAGAGGCCCAGCTCTGGTGTCAGGTTCCCAGTTCAGCCCTGGCCCCATGTGTGCCTGCTGAGGGTGCCCTGCAAGCAGCCCAGCTCATCCTAGCACAGTGCTAGCCCACCTTGAAGGGTCCCGTCACATTGAAGTCCACTCTCTCACGGATCCAGCAGCTGCCCAGGTCCCCTGTCCTCTCCCTCACTAGGTGCTTGGTGGAGTTGACCACATAGGAGATGCTGAGGCTGCTGGTGGCTGAGCCATGCAGGTGGCAGTACAGCACAAGCTGGGGATGGGGAGAGGGTGAGTGACCCCCAAAGCCCAGGGCAGGGGCACACAGCCCCCTGCACCCTACAGGATGCTCACTCACAGAGATGTGGCTGGAGGAGCTCAGAGCTCCCCACAGACACCAGAGATGCCACCAAACCACCTTCAAAAACACACTGCCGATCCCCAGCCACAGCCAACCACAGCCCCAGCCTCACATGAGGGTCCCAGTGGTGGGGACCACTATGCACACAGGGGCTGTGACACAGGTCCCAGCTGTGACTCACAGAGCAGGAGTTGGTGGCCTGGAAAGTGGGACTGCTGAGCCATGCCGTGCTGCCAGCCCCCACGGTGGGGGCACTGCCCACATGGAGGAAAAAGCCTGCAGGAGATGCCAGGAAGGGGCTGAGTGGAGCTGTGCAGGTGTGTGGGTGCAGGACACTGCTGACTTGGAACAGCCTTGAGCTGAGCCCAGGCGTGTGTCACCCAAGGCACATCCACCCCGGGGCCCTGTGGAGGGGCTACCCTGGGGGGCTGCTGCCCTGCCACGTACCAGCCCTGCTGTTGCTGCTGTGGTCACGGGTGGGGATCCCATAAGCAGTGCCCAGGCTCAGGCTTGTGTTCCTGCCCCATGCTGGTGGCCCAGGCTCTGCCTCCCAGCCACAGAGACCATGTTCAAAGGAGCAGGAAGTGAAGGACCCTGTGGGGAGAAGGCACAGCAGTGACCAAGGGATGGAGGTCCCTGCACTGGGCTGGGTTCATGCCACCCCTTTGCAAACCCTTGGGGGGATTAAGCACAGCTGTGGTTTGGACCCCTGCCAGCCCCACACCCAGCTCTGCCCCACCAGGGCAGAACCTCAGCCCATCTGTGTAGTCAGGGGGCTGGTGGGCAGGACTCTCTCCCCGGGTCAGTGGTGCTCACTGCACTGTGCCGCAGCCTCGTCGGAGCCGTCCCCGCAGTCGTCGGTGCCGTCGCAGAAGCGGTGCAGTGCCAGGCAGGAGCCACGGCCACAGCGGCTCTCCTGGGGCCCACAGACCTGCTGTCTGGGCTCTGGGGTGGGGGGACACATGTCAGCAAGTGGCTGGTCCCACGGGATCATGCTGGGTGCCCCCACATCTTTCCCTGGGGTGGCTCTAGGGACAGGTTTTCACTGCCTACCCCATGCCCTGGCCAGGGCACACTGCTCCAAGACATGGTGGGCAATGGGAGAGCTCCACTGGGCTGCAAAGCCCAACCCAATTTCCCCGAGATCCAGCTCACATCCCAGCAGATATAGGACTCACCTGGCAAGCCACAGTTCCTGAAGATGATGTCATCAAGTGCCACCTCTGCCCCACAGCCAGGCGGTTGTGTCAGTGAGAAGATG